CGAGCGATAGCTTGTCTAGTGATGTCACTTGATGGTTTCCTCTGAGCATGACCAATCCATCTCCATTTCTTCCTGCTTGTTTGTTGCCCAATTGGTTCCAGAGATCCCTGTTGCTGATCTTTTCTGGCCATCTGATATTGAGTATTAAGCGAAGACAACTGTTAATGAAGGTCTGTAGTTTGTTTGAGATGCTCTTTATGACGCGCAGTGCAAGTCTCTGATCCGTATAGTGAGTAGCACTGACTTCACATTGGAGTTGAAAATCTGGATCTTATTTTTGATGCTGATTGCTGTCGACCTCCACATAGACTTGAGAGTAGTGAAAGCTTGTCTTGCTTTTCCGATCCTTGCTTTGATATCCTCGTCAGTTCCGCCTGCCTGTAGTTGAAACGATGCTTCCCAGATCGGTAGGTAAAGGAGGTTGCTTCTTTCAGATTTCTCCCATTTACGTTGGCTGACTGTTGTTGCTGTTTTTGTTGGCCAGGAATCTTCATCACCTCTGTTTTCTCTATGTTCACCTGAATTCCTATCTTCTCTGGATGCTTCTTCTGCTAACTTGTTGCTTTTCGCTTGCATGTCTTCCAATTTGTGGGAAATCAGACATATATCATCGGCGAAGTCAAGATCCTCCAAGTTTTTTGTGTGGATCCATTTTAAACCTGTTTCCTCGTCACTCTGATTTAGGATTAAGATTAAGGTTAAACGTCAGTGTAGGATTAGGATTAGAAGAGGGTATGGTTAGGTTAGTTTAGACTACGGGGTTAGGGGGGTTAAGGTTAGAGTGAAACTTGCAATGAAGATTATGGACAACATCTACTGGAAATGTTCAGTGTTTTGTGACTGTCGTCATCAGCGTATATTCATCACAGAGTTCATCATTCATAGACGATTAGTGGATCCTAAAACTGGTAGCTGAATGCCATCAAGCTACTGAACACTGTCCGGGAAGGCAGCGAGATCAGACGGAATTCCTCCCGAAGTACTGAAGACAGCCCCAGAGATTATGGCAGATGTTCTCACTTCATTACTGCAAAAAGTTTGGAAAAAAGGAAAGATGCCTACCGATCGGAAGAAAGACTGGCCATCTTGTCAAACTGCCAAAGAAGGGTGACTTACGCCTTACTCTGCAAGAACTGGCGTGGAATAATGCTCTTGTCCACGCCAAGTAAAATACTAAGCTGTATCATCTTGGACAGAAAAAAAGGTGCATTGCATACAGAACTCTGCCAGCCGGAACAAACTGGATTCAAGAAAGACAAATCATGTGCTGATCAAATTGTAACTCTACGTATCGTCATCGAACAAAGCATAGAATGGCAGTCAAACCTGTCTCTACCTCAAATTCATCGACTTCGAGAAGGCCTTCGACAGACAGCGTTGACCGAGTCGTAATTTGGAAACAACTTCAACACTACGAAATGCAGTGCACAAGTCTTTATCAACCTCATTCAAAAGCTATATGACAGTGGCACGTGTCAGGTGATCCAAAAGGGAGAACTCAGCAAGGCGTTCGAAGTGCCTTCAGGAGTAAGACAAGGTAGTCTGTCCATTATCACCACGGATGACATTCTTAATTATGGATTATGCGTCAAACCGTTGGGGGCGAGGAGTCAGGAATACGCTGGACCACCGATAAGAAGATTCTAGAAGATCTGGATTTCGCGTGTAGATGATTGATGTTTAATGTCACACAAACTCAAAGACGAAAACCAAAAAATGGTTGAAGAAGCTGGCAGGCAGCGAAAACAGAACTGAAGGTGAACATAGAGAAGACGGAGGTGATGAAGATAACCAACGAACTGCAACAACAACCAGCACCAATCACCATCAACGGGAGAGATTTGACTGAGTTTACCTGCTTCACTTATCTCGTAAGGAAGCGTGTTTCCAATTACAGGCGGTACGGATGAAGATGTCAAAGCCAGCCAGCCAACCAGAATCCGAAAGGCAAGATACGCCTTCATCAACCTGAAACCAGTTTTGAAATCTTCTGCACTAAATCAGCATAAGGAACAAGATTCACACTTTCAACACTAATGTCAAGTCAGTCAATTCTTCTATATGAGTCAGAAACTTGCACTGCGTGTCACCAAAAGGATTTCCAACAGGTTGCAGACCTGATTCACTAACTCCATACTGAAGATCAGATGGCTGGCCAGAAAGAATTAGCATAAGAAACTCTGGCTGGGAACAAACCAGCCAAGAGCCGATCGCTCAACAACTATTTAGGGGGAAATGGAGGTGGATGGATCGAGCATACATTGAGGAGGCCGCCAAATGACATCGCACACCAGGCCAGTGCTCGGGTGTGTCAACAGTGCGAGGGTGACATAGAGGAGAGCGTGTGAAGAAGAGATGAGAGAGTTTGGTCAATCGTGGACCCAGCTGAAAAGGACAGCAGAAAACAGAACAAAGTGGAGATGTGTTGTTGAAGCCCTATGTTCCATTCGGAAAGCAAGGGAATAATAATAATAGTAATAATAAAATTGGTACTCACAGAAATTCTGTTGAAGGATTTTGAGCATATGAAAAAAAACGGATTAGAATGGTATATGTCTATATTACAACTAATCCTATCAAAAAATGGGACCTCCATTCTCAGCACATTAGAGGCATATACAACATATAATTCATTTTTATTACGTGTATATATCCTTATGCTAAAATGCTACATTTCACCTAGAAGAATATGACTTAGTTCGTTCAAGGTTATCCGGCTGTGGTATCTGTTCTTTAATGTTGCCAGCTCTTATTCTTCCACTTAGTTAATTATGAGCATTAGTAGTAGTAGTGGTGTTTTTCAGGGTTATCAAGAACAATTATTGAATCATCCCTCTTGGATATAATTCCAATTTTGTTCCTTAATAATGTTGCCTAGTAGAACAGGAACCAGGGAGGAACGTTTTGTCCAATTTTGGGGATAGTCAGCTGGGTGTATGCGCATGTGCATTCCTGAGTAAGCGGTGGTGGTGTTCTCACTGAGACTGGACTGACAAATAACCTCGTCACCTAGTAGATCATCAGAACCATCTCTTGTGTAATGGAGTAATAGTTATTTGCGGCAAAGTTAAACTATCATAGCCAAAACCACAGTGACCTTGAACAACCAATCAGAATTCAGATGCAAAAAAGTCGCATAATCGTTGAAAAATACACCAACAAATATTGTAAACTTGATATTTCACTGTATAGTTGTAACTTATGTGTTATAAGAATGTCTCCCAGTCAATACAGAGATGATCTATAGACAAATCTTACCATGCGCGATATATGCATCCATCCAGGTGACAGTGTAGGTCATGGTACTTTGAAATCCATTGATATTTCTGACACTATTCTCCAACCTACTCCTAACTCTTAACCCTAACTTTAACCCTAAACCTTAATCTTAAAAGCCATAACCCTACCTAATAGCAAAGATTTACAGAAGAAGTACCTAGTAAATAAGTAGAATACTGTATCTATCCTCTCCAAGTCCAAAAAGACAGACATGACTTGATTTCGAATGACATTTCATAGCATTCCCTGCGGCTAATCGGTTCTTGAAGGTCACCTTTTGGAAGACCTTCACTTTGGATATGATACTTAATTTTTTTATTCCTTTACGTTCCCGGTAGAACATAGGGTACCTTCAAGCTAGAGCCAGCTTGAAGTTTCAGTAGCAGTGGTGTTTATTTTTACGGGATGGGGTTGGTAGCCTCATGTCCAACCTCCTCTCCTTGCTAGTTTTATTACTGGTTTAACGAGGTAAAGGAGTGCGTCGGTGGCCGGAGATCGAACCCCGAACCACATGCGTGGTTGGCCAGTATCTTACCGCTGTGCCACCGACGCCCAATGATACTTAAACTGCGCTTTATTTGCATCCTGGACTCCAATTCTGGTCTACCACGCTGCTAAGATCCACGTATTTGCCCTTTTCCCTCCCCCATCTCCAAACATTCACTAATTGGTAATTAGACAAACTATCGTATTTTCCGAAAACTTTTTTAAAACCATGCAGCATTTTTTACATATTTTGTCTAAAAAGTGTACCAAAGTAGGGAGGAATAAATAATGGCACTACCTACCTCCGAGGGTGAAATGGAGGAATTGGTGTGAGAAGGAGATGAGGTCTTTATGAGGAATCGTCGGGCCAGCTAAAGAACCTAGCAAAATGGAAATGTCCCACTTGGAAATCAAGGGGATAATACAACGTGACAGTGGGGGTGTCTGTCTTAGGGAGCAATATGACAACAGATACCAAGCACCTCAATCAATCGACGGGAAATTTCAGTAAAAATATTAATTTTCTATAACTGGTTTGTAAGGATTAGTTTTGTTTTTACGAGATGATCACGGATTGGTATCAGTTACTGCCGATGATTCCCAAACTAGTGGGATGAAACAGCTGTCCAGTACTCCATGCTGGCTGGTTTTCAATGGTTCTCTAACTGATATCAATCCGTGATCAACTCGTAAAAACAAAGCTAATCCTTACAAACCAATCATAGAAAATTAATCTGATGCTCACTAGTGACTTGTTACAGGACGGAGTCTCCTGGAGTTCTAGTGAGAAGTCGTGACCAGTGAGGTCCATCCAGTGAAGTGTGTGAAGATGGATGTCCCACTGACGACATTGGTTGGTGCCAGTCGCGCTAAATCATGAATTGGTAGAAGTTAGAATTCATGGGCTGGCTGTCATTGAGTCGGGTCCCAGTGACTGAATGGTATACGAGCTCGCCGTCTTTGTAACCGGAAGGTCCTGGGTTCTAAATCAAGTGGGTGGGTCCGTACTGCCGATGATTCTCAAACTAGTCTGGCGAAACAGCTGTCCAGTAATCCATGCTGGCTGGTTTTCAATGGTTCTCTAACTGATATCAATCCGTGATCAACTCGTAAAAAAAATTATAACAATAATAATTTCAACCAAAAACAATTAATAAATTTTGAAAATTATAGGGTTAGTGAGAAAAACACCTCACACACCCACACGCACACCTCCGCCCGACCGCTCGACTTACCTGAAATGAAACAGCATCCAAATTTGAATAACCAACAAATAGCAAGTTATTTTGAATTGTATACACCAACCCAGGAACGGATATTAATACACAATCCCATGGATCTTTCCATATATTCTCTTTCAGATTATTTATGAATGCAGTAAATGAATAATTCGCCTCCATATAGACAAGAAAGAAACATACGAGTAGTTTAACTAATTCACTCATGACAACAGCTGTTGTCGAATAGTACATATCACCTTGTCTTGCACGTGAATATCGGGTGACAAGAACAACAGCAGCATTTTGAAGAACAAGAGATATTAAGGCAACACGTCCACGGAATACATCGCCTACACAAGACACAACAGGAGACAATAAATACATATGTACTTCATTTAACCACGACTTACTGTGTAAGAATTTAAATCTATCCAATGAAGATACCATTTCATATATGCACACGGAGGTGGGGAGAGTGGGGTGGGAGGCAAGCAAATGTGAGAACACAATAGCAGAAAATTGTTCTGCTTATTAAAGTTCTTCCTCGAAGATTAATATAATTACCTATATAGGGGAGAAATAAAGCTATTAAAAACAGTCCTACAGACAAATTGATATAGAGAAAAATAAGCAGGACAATATAAGAACACTTACATGGTAAAACTATATACTACTCATTGATTCAGATGAGTAGTTGTGTATACCACCACCCCCCTCACATCAACCAGTAGTAGTACTGTAACGACAGAAGACAAGGGCCAGGCAATAGATCGTTTATTGAGAAAATCAACAGATATTTATAGATTTTTATGTACATTATTATTAACGTTATTGTTAGCACAGAAGAAACGTCTTCTGATTGGTTTTTTTCTCTTTGTTGCCATTTATTAGACAGTCCGGTGATATATCTGCGAATTGTATCCGCCCACGCTAAGTTTGATGTGATTGGCTGTTGAATTCCTCAAGGTTAGGCTTCGTTACTGTTTTTATCTCATGACCCCGATTCGGGACGTAAACATTGACGTAAATTGGTGTCTACAATTTTGGCTAGCAGACAGCTCTTACCACAGTACTTGCTAACCAGACGACTGTTTCACTTGTTTCACGCCGAGCTCATATCACCAGTATAGCCGGCTTTATTCAGCTCAGAAGGTACGAATCAGTTTAAACTACTTGTATTCTGGCTAGTAAGTACTACTGCTGGTTGATGTGAGTAGGGTATGCAACTAATGACCTCAACCAATCAATACTATGTATTATGTTCTCTTGGGTTCCAAGTGGAATATAGGGCTTCAAAAACATAGCTCCAATTTGTTCTATTTTCTGCTGTTCTCTTTAGCTGGGCCCACGATTGCCCATCTCCTCGCACGATCTCCTCCACGTCAACATCAGCCGCATGCCACAATCGTTGTCTCCCATTCGGATTCCACTAGAACAATGACCTCCATTGCGCGTAAAGTCATTCGATGGTTTCCTGCCCAAACCATCCCCATTTTCTCCTACATATTTGTTGAGCAATCAGCTTTTGGTTGGTTTCTTCCAAGTCAGAGTTTCTTGTTGCTAATCCTTTCCGGTTATTCGATCTCTAATATGGAGACGGCGAAGGTAGCTAATGATAAAAGTCTGCTGTAACCGGTTGGAAATGTTTTTTCGTGACGTTTAGTGCAAGTTTCTCACCCATATAGAAGAACTGACTGACTTGACATTCATGTTGAACAGAATCCGAAGCTTGTTCTTTATGCTGGCTGAGTCAGTGCAGAAGATGCATCCACTCTTTGTAATTTGCTAGTCATATCCAATAAAACCCTATTGTTGTTCTTCCATATGACTACTATTCTTCTTCCCTCACTCTATTTTGTTGAATCTCTTTTTACTGTCCTCTCTTGCTTTGTGTGCTATATAAAGGGAGTGTAGCAACCTATAGTTATTCTATGTTGAAACCAGTATAGAATCAAGTCTAGATATAAGAATAGAACTTGGGCACTATGATACAGTAGAATTTCATCTTAGAGTAACTTTGTCTGATAAAAGCACACAACGGTACCGTAAACGATGCATTATGTTTTGTAAATAAAAAGCCAATCTACTCTAATATATACTTGAACTTTAATTCATCTCATCCGTTATCTGTAAAGGCAGGCTCACTTGGTTAATTGTCTAAATAATCAACTGAACAATAACTTTAAGTAGTACATCAGAAATCCTAAATAATGAAATGAAACAGACAGAATAATCGATGGTGCTTCACATAAAACTATCACATAATATGACTGATTGACTGACTGATTTTAACGTAATATGCATAACATAGTATGCCTGAAGAAGAATAAAACAGCTAAGAGGAAAAGGAAAAAAATAGTAGTGGAACTATCGAGCATAACCTAAATAAGAAAGCATTTAAAGCATCTACAGGTTTACCATATAAGGAAAGGACATCTGAGACACTACATAGGACTCTGAATAAAGAAGGAATTTGGGTGGCATTTAAACCTACAAACTCAACAGGCTGAAAGCCCCCTCTACTGACCCAATTACACAAAATAATATAATCTATAAAAACTCGAATACCTTGCAATAACCGTGAAGTCAACTCTACATAGGTCAGACTAGTAGATCGGGATAGTCAAATTATCGGAACATAAGGATCTAGCTAAGTGTAGAATGACTAACCCGACTAAGATGATTAGGTTCAGAAGAAAACTCAGAGATTGCACTGCATGCATTAAAACACAATTATTCAGTAGGGTGCAGGGAGGGGTAGATCAATGAATCTTTCTCCGTCGAATCCACAGCTAACACGTGTGTACAGGGAGTCACTCAGTGCCAATACCAGAACTGTGGAAAATATTACTACCAACAAAATTAAGGGATGAGAAATAATTGAATTATATGAACGAAGGTCGAACCTAGTTACAGGTGGAATATCACCACTTAATCTCAGGAAGAGAACTCAGTGATCGATAGCGTTCAGCGTCAACAGACTTGAAAAAAAAATAGAACCGGTACTATCTAGTATCATCTGTGAAGAAATATCTTTGCCCCAGTTAAAATGGACTCCATTGGTCATTGAATTTGTAGGGATTTGATTGATTTCTAATTGTAAATATCTTTATGTGAACCGACCCAACCAGAGATAGATGAGTCAGAATTAATAATTCTAGTAGAATATTTAGTTCTGGCAAACTAGGATATCCTTTAAACTGACAGACAACTTCAAGAACACATCCCAACACATAAGTTGTTTAAATATTTAGCATCCATAATATGTCCTTATAGAAACCGCTGAAACTCTAGACTAATTCATAAAACAAAGGCTATGAGGTATTCAAATGCAGAAGCTTACGAACTGATATATCAGTTAATGCGGCTCCAGAATCAGTCAGGATCTCAAACATAAAGCTACAGTATCGATCAAAGAAATCACTTATGGATGTTCATTTATGTCTGAATTCAGTCCTCAAATTTCCGGATGCAACATACGCATAGATGAATGAGGTGACAACGGGACCGATCACCAATATCCTGAAATAGTAGCTAGCGGATAACTGAAAAATTAAAGTTCTTAGAATACACTCAAACCGAATTCTTATTTCACTTATGGTAAAGGTGTGTAGACGAACTAGAGGGAAGAGCACTACTTTTGCCTGACCATAGGGCCCAGAGAACATCTCGGTCGGTCGGTCGGTTTTCGACATAGAACTTCGCACATATGTGCACTAGTTCAAGTCGCCACACTCCACTCCATGTAGCACACAAAGCAAGAGAAGAAAGTAGAAGAAATGCATAATATAGTCAGTAAACAGAGGTGTGAGACAAAGGAATAGTAATAACGAGGAACAAAACAGTTTCATTGGAAATTACAAGTCACAAGGAGTGGATGCATCTGCGCTATTCATTGAAAACGATTTTGAGCCATGTCACCAATTGTTTCCAACCATTGGCTTTTACCGTCCCGAGGACCCCAACCAGTCAGGAAGTCTACACCTTCCTACGTGGCTTAGACTAACTGTTGTAGATTTCATTGACTGGTGCCATGTTTTCGTTTGACCGCCTCTAGCTCTTTTCCAGCCTGGCCCTATATCAGCTAACATTGCCCGTCGGGGAAGGCGATGACTAGGCATACGTAACACATGTCCTAACCATTTCAGTCGATGTAATTTCACCGTTTCGTCGATTGATTTCCCCTCCCTCCTTACCTAGCACTCGACGCCTAACCTCAGTATTGCTCACCTTATTATACCACTTCACGCGGGAGATAGAACGCAGACACCTATGATCACAGACAGCTAATCTTTTCATGTCTTCTGCTCTCAATGGCCAGGTCTCACAGCCATAAAGGAGGATGGAGCGGACTGTTGAGCAGTACACACGCCCTTTGGTCGATAGTCGGATATCGCGTCTACGCCAGAGACGGCGAAAACTGGCGTCTGCGAACCTAGCCCTCTGTATTCGTGCTGAGATTTCGTCGGAGATCAACCCGTTGGGGCTGATGGTACTTCCCAAGTAAGTGAAGCGGTCAACGTGTTCTACCACTTCACTTCCTATTTCTAATCTAGGGGTCGATGAAGTCCAATCCTGCAGCATCATCTTACATTTTACAGGGGCGAACATCTGCTTAAGACCAGTCACACACGGTCCTTTTGAAGTGGGTTTCGGAATTGTGTGCGGATGTACACCTTACCGCCAGCTACAGGCAGTTGTGCTGTAAGTCAGGGATCCCAATTTTCGGAGTTAACATTTTCTAACCTCCTCCCGAGAAGGAGGACGCAGCATAGCTGACTAGTTGGTTGTTCAAGGGGAACACCTTAAGGCTGCTACATCCCTATTCGCTAACAATACGACTCTGCTTTGAGACCCCCCAATATAATGTAAATCACTATCCAAACGACCTTTCTGGCATGGTAGGATCTGCAGGAACATTCGTCCCAGACAATGTTACTTTGTAGGTCACTGTGATATGCAAGCCCGACCACCACCACCCGTCAAATTAGCAGCTATAGGTCAGGATATGTCGATGACACATATATTGTGTCGAAATTTGAATGCATCCAACATTTCTTCACATATACACTCAGTAGTAGACACCATTCAGTCTACTTCCAAGTTAAGATAATAAACACGAATTAGCTACATCAGAGATTAGGCAATATCGTCTAAGAAAAAAACCATCACATCGTCATACGTATTTAGACTTTGGATCATTTATAAAGTCATTTTTTGGTTAAGTATTTCAGTAATGGAGGCAGGGGTTCTGATCAATAAACTAAAAAAAACATAAACGATGAAATCAAAAAGATGAATAAAGTATTACCACTACGTAATTAAAACAATTAGTCCCTTTGATAAATTTGAATAAGACATTTAGAAGACAAATTTCCGAACTCGAATCGAATAACAAACTCGGTTTCCTGGATATTACTATGACTAGGAGAGATGATGGAACGATT